GAATAAATTATTTATGTCAAAGAATACATAAAATTTTTGAAAAAATAAATCATAGCATGTAGTCTCACCATAAAAGTAATAAGTGGAGGAAAAGGGAGTTTACTTTCCTCATTTGTTTTTGCTATGAACCCTAATTATCAAGATGTGAGTCCTTAATTAATTTGGCGAAACAACCAACATGATTTTGTTTGATGTCTTTCTTCCTCTCCTATTTTAGGAAGTTTTCCTTATAAGTTTGTCACATGCAACAAGTGCTACCACTTTATTTTCTTTTAAATAATATACACATCATTTATTATGTTGTGTGTGGAAACCACAAAACATGATTATATTCTAAAGCCTCACATCTTTTTTTTTTTTTTTTAATAATTTTTCTTATGGTAATCATATTCTGAAAAGGCCAATGAAGAAGATGTTTAATCAATATGTCACCAGTTGACACCACAAATGTCTAGAAGCTGAGTCCAGCTAGAATCCAAATTGCTAGCTAGCTTTGCTTTAGATTCTGTATGCCCATTGCATTGCTTTAGATTTCATTTCATCTTTTTGGGACCCTACCCTTTTCTTTCTGATGATATCAATATATTTTTTCAACATTAATGTATGATATCATGATTTTATGCTAGTTTGCATGAACTACTTCGTTAGTGTTAAGAGGTTAATTTGCTTGATATTAAAGGTTCAAATATTCATGTTATTTTAAAAAGTTAAAAGATAAATTTAGTTCGATGAATGTAAACTAATTTAAAAGACATCACCTTATTAAATGCAGCCTCAATTATAAAGATTAAGAACACCACAGCAAAGCCATCCTAGAGGGTCAATTATTAGTCACCTTTTTAGAGAAGCAAATCTTTTAGCCGAAGATATTATCCCGCTGGCAAAAGTTAAAGTGAGATTAATTCCAAATGTTTAGATAGTTTAATTAGGATTAATGCGTTAAGTAACTATTAATCTTCCTCAAAGTAAGAGTTGAAGAAGTGACACAATAATTGGGAAGAAGATATTATCCCCCTGGCAAAAGTTAAAGAGAGATTAATTCCATATGTTATATAGTTTAATTAAGATTAATGTTAAAGTAACTATTAATCTTCCTCAAAGTAAGAGTTGAAGAAGTGACACAATAATTGGGAGAGAGCTGTGCAGAAATTAAACAATAATTTCTAGATTCTTCTCCCAGGTAGGATTGACCTACAAAGGAATGAACAGTGTTCCCTAATTTTTGAGGCACTTGACCGACAAGAGTGCACCAACAGTGAGTGGATAAAGTCCCTCTACCAGCAAAGAAAAAAAAGGTGAACATCCATGAAATCATACCACAAGCTAATTAACCTGGCCCTTTTCTAAATAATAAAATTCACCACAGAGCAAATCCACAGTTGTTGGATTAACAACTTTCTTTTTTAAAAAGGTGTTACATTATATGGCATCATGAAATTGCATAGAATGAATCATTAGTAACTCTCTGTGAGTCGTTGCATTTCATTAAACAAAAAGTTTAATAGCAAAAACCGCAGCTTCCAGTTTGATTACTGCTCCTATAAAAAGTTGAAATCAACTTTTTGAAAAGAAGAAGTAATTGAAACATTTTCAAGGAAAAGATGTTGGATTCAGCTCCTACAGTAAACATGGTCGAATGAGATGAGTAGATATGGTCCCCCCATTCATAAGTAAAATCAAGAAACAAAAAAACAAAAGGGGATGTGGAAAGCTTGAAATTAAAAGGTGGACAATAGTAGATAAGGATTTGACTGATCTGATTATATAAAAGTCCACATGAGAAGAAGGAATATAATGCAAAGATTGACATGATTAATTCTTGATATATATATAGTACATTGTTATTGGAGGGTGAAATATGGTGTATTATGAGTCATCTAAAGGCGCGGTAAACGTGAAGTGGAGAATATGTGCCAAAAAAAAAAACACATCAAATGGAGAATTACATGGCATGTTACTTATAAAAGAAATGCATGTAATACCCTTTGGCCTTTTTTTTTTTTTTTTGGGTTTCCTTTTGGGATCAAAAGGACATGTCCGGATATAAATATATATTTGGTTCTGCCCAAGTACTACGTCCACTATATTTTTTGTACATGCATGGTTTCATTACAATGTCATTTCTTTTGTTTTTTTCTTTTCGGATATGATGATACTTGCTCCAATATTGTCCGGATACACAGATTTTGCTTCACATTTATGTCCAGGACCATCTCGTATGTGTCGGTGAGAAATTAAATTAAATTAAATTAAGTATCACTCCAAAATTATATAATAATTAAGAAATGAAAGCAGAACAATCTATGATTTTTTTTCTTTTCAATTAATTAGAATTGCCAACGCATATACGTAGAAAAGACTAACATACAAGTTGAACGTGTGTCTGTAAGAAGTCTTAGGTTGAAGCTGATAAGTGAAGAGTATTATCTTATAAACGTAGGAATATATGTTACACAAGATTGAATGGAAGTAATGCACTGTGGACATTATGATAGAGAAGCTATAAATCAATTTTTTGGGTTCTGGGGCTTTAGGATTTGGGAGATTAAAGCTCTTTTTGTTATACACATTAAGTGCTCGATGAAATGTTTAAGAAGGGTGTTTGCTCCTTTAATATTGGATGCTAACTATGTGTCTTTTGGGATGTACTTCTAATTGTGCTCCCTTTATTAATAATATTCTTTCGCTGCTCAAGAAAAAAAAGGGTCTGAGAAGGCTGTGCTGCTTTGTTTTTGGTATTTTCTGGGTTCCGTTTACCCAACAAAATACGGGACTAGATCAACTTATTTTGGTTGTAATTGAGAAGAAGTGTATATGGGGTTGTGATGAGAAACCCCTTGTACTTTCAAATAAGATACTAATTTTCTTAATTGATCAAAAAAAAGGAAAAGTTGTAGAAAGATGGAAAGCTATAGTTAATTAGCAAAGGTTAGATAGAAAGATAGAT